CCCCCCCCCTTGCCGAGCCTATAGGCCCCGCTTTCCGATCGTTTCGACACATCTTCAGCGATCTTTCCCCCCTTCAGAGATCCCGGGCAGCTGGCAGCGGAGGTCGGGTGGGCGGGGCCGCCGGATGGTGAACTTCCGACGCACGGACAACAATCATCTTTAAGTGATTGTATTTCGATCTGACCACTTATCGGTGGGAGATTAGTCTAGTGGTATGATTCTCGCTTCGGGTGCGAGAGGTCCCGAGTTCGATTCCCGGATCTCCCCCATACTTTTTCGATCTTTGGAGCTTGCTCATCTTGCCCGCCCGCGCACCACCGGAGCCCCTCCCGGAAGATGCGCGACGGGGCACATGTGTCTCTTTTGTGCCCAACATCTGTGTGCGTTCAGACACGCACGCGATCAATGACTTTGGCTCCCGGGCCCGGCTGAAGGCATGTCAGAAACAGGGGTTTCCTGGCGGGTATGTCCTCCAGCGGGGAAAAGTGACCCCGGATGGGCAAGGGATTGGAGCTTGATCACCCCCGATCCCGATGAAGGGATTCCCACTTTCAAGAGCAGTCAACCAGGCATACTATGCTGGACGAGGTCCGGTTCGAGTCGTGCCTCGCCTGTGAGATGTGGAAACTGCCCCGGAAGTAGGGAAGATGGGGGGGGGGGGGGGGGGCGGGAGATGGAATAGGAGACATCAGTCAGAGGAAGGGAGATTCTCCCCGAGAGGAACTGGGAAAAGAGTGGCCAACCGTTTGGGGATCCCGCGAGGAATCAAGCGGGTTTCGCGTGTCGAGGCAAGCGGCAGCCATGTTGGCGGGAAAAAAAAAACCCGCGCGCCTGCTCCTCTTGGATGCTGCCAAATCCATCAATCCGAGCAGGCGGCATGCTGGTCCTGGTTGGGGCATACTTACCGCCCTTTTGTCCTTGCCTCCGGGGTGTCCGAAATGGTCGGACCTTGGCACGACAGACGTGACTCCAAAGTTGGGGCGGACGCGACATCGGGTGTAATCTCTCGGAGATGGTTTCGCTTGGGCGATCGCGACCGCAAGATATCCGCCTGATATTTCGGGCCTCCCAGGAACAGGCCAGCACGGCATGAGAGCCACCCTCGCCGGTGAGGGAAATCGTCGGCCGCACTTTCGGCATCACTTGCCGTGAAGGGAGCCCGCTACAAAGCCTATGTGCAGGTCTTTGAAAAGCCACAATGGTCCAAGCCACGCTCTGAGACATTACGACCTCGGCTCGAGGAAGGCCACCCCAGCCAGGGCCTCCAAGTTTGCTTGAACTGCAGACACACGCACGGACGAACACACACACACACGCACACACACACACACCGACATGGGCCTTTCCCTCGCCCTGCGAAAGCAATTGTCTTCCCAAGCTGGGGATGACCAAGTTACGGCCCTCGCTCTCTCGGCATGTTCCGCCGGGGCGATGAGAGGGCAGGAAGGAGCAGGGGATTAAAGAACTGCCACCTCAGACACATTGACTGGCGAGGGGGGAGGAGGGGGCGGCGAAGGACCATGGCCCTCCACGTACAAGTCGCCTGAGTGATAGCCATGCAGAGCAAGCGCCTCTTTGGCCAAATGGGCCGTATTGCTTGAGACGGGGCCAGCTGGCCAGCCAGCCCGTAGCTCGGCGTGACATGACTCTCTCCCTGGTGATTTACCCCGAAGGGCTGGCAATCGGGTGCCATTAGATCTGGAAGGTGGGGACGATTCTCCGGCCACACGGAGGACGACAAAGAAAGTAGTGCTGACCGGGCGGGTAAGTTCGAATGCCCCGACGCCCGCGGCCATCGGAGACTAGTGCGGACGTGCAAAAGGACTTTGACGTGTCCCCCGTTGTCGCGACCTTACTTTGGACGCACCTCGGCCAGGGCCCCCTCGCGCCAAAAGGAGCCCTTGTCGACAAAGGTCGACAGCTTGTGCGGATCGATGTGGCGGCAGATCGACAGGTGCTTGGCCCTTGCCGAGCCAACACTTAGGGAGCGTTAGGGCCGCTCGAGGACCGACGGGCCGAGCGTCGCGGCCGGTGCCTCGGTTCCCACTTGGACGGGGCACTTTTGGTCATCATGTAGAGGCCAAGAGAAACATCACCGAACACGGGCCACGGGACAGCCTTGGCGGTGCGGAGAAGATTTCAGTCGATTCAGGGGGAAGCTCAATTGCCATGCACAGCGCCTTGCTGCTTCCCGATCCACAGGCACGCGTGTCCGGAAGAATCGACCCGACTGGCGTGCCCTCCAGGTGAATACTAAGTTTTTCGTACACAAAGGCTCCACTCAGCAAGAGCAATGCATCCGCCAAGGCAGGCGACGGAAAGACGAAAACCCACTCGGATCCCCCTCGACAAGCCAGGAGATGGCCAAACAAATGGCCCCGTGGGCCATCCCCGACGAACGCGCTCACTACGCTGCGGGGGCGTGAACCGATTGGCTTCCATCCATGTGGACGCGCAGGAGGTGGAACATGTCATCTGCCCCGGCGAGCAGAGGTCGAAAACACACTTGCAATCATATGAGACACTTTTCTGTCCGGCCGACTTGCCATCTCGTCAACAGGAGATCGCCTCCGGGGAGGGGGGGGGGGGGGGGGGGTTCTGCAGCATGGGGTAGAATGTTCCGAAATCGAAGGGCCGCGACCTTGGGCTCACGAAAATGAGCGAGTGTCGTATTGGGACCACTGAGAGCCGTTTGTCGCGATAGCGACTTGGGATACCTCCTCCGCGACTCGAATTCCCGCGGGAGGAGGCTCTGGGTATTAATGCGTAGCTTTCGGGATGGCCATTGGGGCCACAAGATGTGCATGCCGATGGCGCAAGGCGCCGGCCGCAGGCATTCTCGACAGGTGGGTGATGATGTGAGTTGGAGGGAGCTCACGCGGAGACAGCCGGGATACTGGGAGCGATCCGTTTGTGTAGCTTCCCACACGAAGCCTCGGCAGGGGGAGGGAGCGCCATGTGTACTTGGCGCCGCCGGCTGCCATTGGCGAGGAGGACGGTGCCAGCACTTGCAGCGCCCAAGAGTAGATCACGAATCAGATGCCCGTGGCCATCGGCCTAGCTTGTGTTCTTTGAGAGGGGTGAGCGGGCGTCATTGGCTTTCCCGCTTGCGAATGACGCATCAACTGTTTAAGGGTGAGTGGGGGAAAATGAAGTGCCCCACCGGGTAAGAGTGCCGTGATGTTGGGTTGTTGTGTCGATGAGCCCGAGCACTGGGGAATCGAGCTCCGGGGGCTGTCGGGTGACAAGGCAGACTACTAGTACCAGCTATAGTCCAAGAAAAAAGCCACGAAAGACGGGAACACATTGAGTCTCTATGACCATTCCTCAGGTAAAGTGGTCTGCGAACGCCTCCCCATTAGCTCTCTATAAGCCCTTAATGTCCACGAAAGTCATCCCTATGGGTGTCTGTTCGATTGGACTATGGTTCGCGGAACTCCAGGGCGTAGACGAGCGTTTTAAAATCAGGAGAAAGAAGAAAGAGGGGCGGAGGGCAGGCAGGAGGCGAGGGGAGTTTCAGCCTCCATGTTATAAGGATTGAAGGAGGCTTCGAACAGGGGCTCAAGACTCTACACTGACGAAACGAAAAGATAGCCCACAGTCCCCCCCCCCTCCCTGACAACCACAATCTTTCCCAACCAGTTCAATTACTCATCTCCGTGAGCAGGCGACGAAGGGCTTGCCCATACTCAGGATCAGCCAATCAGAGGCTAAAGACGAGGACAATGTGACCCAGCAGGCAAGATTCTTGCGACGAAGAACTGCAACGCCAATGGTCAGCAGCGGCTATCATCGGCCGTCTGTATCACACGATCATTGAATGGAATGTGCAAAGTCAGAAAATGTCTCACATGATCGCACTTGATTGCAAGACCATGCGCCGAGGGGCTTCCTCTATCCATCACCAACCATTGTCTTCCAGACCAAGCCATTCGTCAATCGCTTTTAACCGGGATTATGTCGGGCGATGTATGGTGGCTGGAGTTCATATCTATTTGGGCAACCAGAAATGCGCAATATCCAACTAATTCATAGCTGGAAGGCGCAAGGCCCAGGAATAAACCGAGCGAATATTCCGAAGTGCAGGGACAATCTACCAAGGATTGATGCTTGGTACATTAGCCCGGATCGTTGACCGGACCGGCGGCCCCGGGTGCTAGGTGGTGCTGATGACGAAGCGGAAAGTAACCTCCAATCCCGATGTGTGTGTGGCAGACTGGGAGCATCTCAAGGACAGCGAAATATCGAAGAGTGATACATCCCAGGGTGGGTGCCGATGTAGCCTCCGCATCGACTACCTCCATTGTGACTGGTCGCGCGCATCGCCAGGAGACTCTGGCCCGCCCTGTCCGAGGGCAAATTTGCCGGGCGGAACATGGAAAATGCGGAGCCCTGGCGAGCGTGTCTTGTGTGGCAGGCGCCCTGGTCCGGCTCCGGTGCCTGGTAGGAGATGCTCTGTCGCAAAAGGAAGCCCGGTGGGCTTCGCGAGGGCAATAGACCGCCAAAAAAAGCGAGGCCCTCCGCCAGCAGGTGTTCCCTGTCGGTGGGATCCCATTGGCTTCTTGGGTCTGGGGGGAATGAAAAGCGACTATGCCTCTCGGTGCTTGGAATCAATCACAAGCCCGAGACTGGAACACAGCCCTGTGGCATCAGCCAAGGTGGCGAGCAATCACCACAATCCCAGTTGTTTGGAAGGTCGACGCTCGATGTCGACTTTAAGGTCACCCCGGGTATCTGAAGGCGTGTGCCCCCCCCCCCCCCCCTCCGGGGGGATTAGGAGCGAGGGCCGGCTCTGGTCGGCTCGCTTGGTGTTTCGATTGGCATCCAAACCCCACAAGAACTCCCGCGAAGAGGCAAGCCGGGGCAAGAGCGGCAGGGGGCCAGGCTGGCTCGGGAAAATGAACACAAGTTCGGTGCCCTGTGGATGTTGAGATGCACGATGGTGCCAGGGCGCCCCCGACCTCATGGGCATTGATCGGCTGAAGGGTTTCCAAACACATACACAAATGCATGCCATTCTATTGGGTAAGGTGATCGATGTGTTGGCGATGACACCCTCGTCGGGATGGTGTGTACCCATAACTTGAAAGGAAGACTTTCCTGAGGACGAGGACGCTTGTCCAAGATAAGCCGACTGTGGAAAATGTCTCCCCTCTCAGGGCAGCCTCATGGACCAAAGGCGGCGTTGGAACCTCAGAGCAATCTCCGGTTACATATCGCGCCCCGCCCCTGAAAAAAAAGGCCCTTGGCTGTCTGCTCGCATGGGCCATGGGGACACCGCCCGAGACTGAATGTCTTTGAGGAAGGGAGCTCTCCTCCACTCGAAGGAACAACCGCATTGAACACTATGGTCTGGGACCATCAGGAGGGCGGCCCTAACGAACCACAGGTCAGGCATAACAACTTGCCAAGTACCCTCGTGGACTGAGTCCACGACCCTTCGAGGTTCTTCACCGGGGCGAAGATGCACGGGACCCGGGAAGCCGCGGTGCCATCATAGTGAAGAAAAACATCGAAACGCGGCAGGAGCAAAGGGATCCTCGGAAGGACATTCCATCAAACATGATAGAATTGGGGCCCCGGTGCACTTGGAATATGCGATGGAAGGTGGATGGAGACCCGGCCTTGCCCGTTTCCATGAGAGTGGCACAAGCAAATGCACAGGGATAGCCAGGACGAATGGACTCATTCTCGGCTAATTTTAAAATCAGCCCTTTTCTAACAGACACACCCTCAGGACAAGACCTTGGCCTCCCTGCTCCAATCCTGAAAGAGGGAAGTCTCTATTGCGTGGGAGCAGCGCCAGTGCGTGGAGCAAGAACGCCCTTCGGCAGAGGTGACTCCCCCTTGGTTGCGGGACTCTCTGGCAAACGAACATCAGAGCCCACCTACCCCCCTCCAGTACCGGCATCTGCCATTGACGAGGAAGGAGGGCCAAGACCAAGGACAACAGGAAAAACCATGTACAGAGGCCCTCGGGACCCGGCCCCTCCTTGGCATACTCCACAAGCAGTCACCATTGTCCCCCATAACCACCTGGCATGTCTTCCCCCCCCCCCCCCCCCCCCCCCCAACTTTGGGGTAGAGACGCTTGGCAACACAATTTGGGTACATTCATGAGCAAGCAGTATGTCCACCCGGACGCAAGCCAAAGGGATGCATGAAGAGAGGAAGACAGGAAGGGGAAAGAGGAGCCCCGGGGCTAAAAAGCAGAGTTTATTCGAGCGAGAGAGAGAGAGAGAGAGGACTGGATCTTGATCGGTTGTGGACCATATACCGGTCGGACCAGGTGCCTTCGCGAGCTCTTGAAAGTGAGGGAGCCCCGGGAAAGGGGGACAAGGCCAAAGCCCAGGCTTGCATGTGCCAGCGCCGAAGAGAGGTGCACTTAGGCAAGATCCCGGTAGTCATCCGCGACCAGGGCATACTTGTTGGCATCCTTGCAGTTGAGCTTGGTGAAGGTCTTGTAGCCGATGGAATCCTCCGGGCAGAAGACCGAGAAGGAGTAGGTGTTGTTGACCAGAGCACAAATGCCGAAGTCCTCGGCATACCGATCGACGATGCACTCAAAGGCATCCTCCAGGGCGCTGACACACTTCTTGTTGTTGCAAAGCGAGTCAAGAGAGAACCCGAGGAAATCGCCGTCCTCGCAGCTCTTGTAGGCACGGGTGAAGATCTTGTCCATGCCGATGTTGTCGCAGCCCTTCATCGGGAAGCTCTTGTTGCCGGCACTGGTAGGGTAGCGAGTCGGGCAGGAGAAGTACGAGAGATCGTCATTGGCAGCATCGGAATCGGGCTCGACCCTCTTGCAGAACTTCCGGTGCTCAATGGCATACTTGGAGCAATCCTCGAAGGCGTTCGAGGTGTTGACAGTCTTACCATCAAAGAGATTGGACTGCTCGACCATGCAAAGGCCAACCTGATGGGCACGCCGGAGGGCATAGGAAGAACAGGAGTCCTCCTCGATGGCGTCGGCGAAATCACGAAGGGCATACTCGCAGGGGTTGGAAGCGGAGTTGACCATGACACCGACCTCGTCGTTGATGGCCTGGCTAGCAACGCCCCGCTTAGCGGCAAAGCGGCTGGGCAGAGTAGCCAACTTCTTGGGGGCCTTCACGGAGCTGGCGGAGGCCACAGCCAGGATGGCGAAAAAGGCGAGCAGGAAGGTAGCCTTGAGCATCGTTGGGGAGGGCGAGAGATTGGGGGCGAAGCAGACGGGGATGAGTGCGACTGAGGACACATGGATGGACTGAAGAGGTGGAGGGGCTGTCTTTTATACTTGCGGAAAAATATGATCCTGGCAGACTGGCCTGGATCATTTACACCATAAAGCCCCAGCGAAGGGCGTCGAGGGGAGGAGGGCTGACATATTGGCTGCATAGTTGGGGCGAGAGGGGGCGAGAGGGGGAGAGAGGGGGAGAGAGGGGGGGAGAGAGAGAGAGAGAAAGAAAGAAAGGGGGGTGGGGGGGGTCCCCCACTCGGAATCAAGTAACAGGTGGGAGCATGTCCGGAGGGTAGAACAGCGATGAACGGGCTTGGGCCGAGGAAACGCGAGAACAACGCGCCTGATCGCCCCAATCCCGTCCTTTTACCCCGTTATAATGTGGCCTCATAAGAGACCTTCACCCCTGACCGATGTCTCAGATGAACACCCTGGTGTGAGGCAGCGTGGCCCTGGACAGCGAGGACGGGCGGGGGCATTTGCGTCCCCGATTCATGCAAACAAATGCGCTTGCGTGCTTGTGGACGCCTCCGCGCGCGGGGGAGGGGGAAGCAGAGAGAGAGAGAGAGAGAGAGAGAGAGAGAGAGAGAGAGAGAGAGGGAGAGAGGATGTACTCGAGCCTCTGGGGCGAGCCTTTCGAGGAGACAGAACTAGGACCTTGATGTTTGAGTCCTCGGAAGTGCCAACTCTGAACTCCAGAAAAGGCGGCGGCTCCGGAAGCGGGTGACGCACAAGGGGGGGGGGGGGATGTCTCCCCTGTGAACTCGACGCGGGGTCTAGGTCGGAGGATGGTCCGGGCCTCCAGGGGCCCGTTGGCAGCGCCGACTCGGGCGGGAACCGAGCCGGCCCCGGCCCAGGGCGGGGGCAACAGAAATCTTGAGTCGGAGGGGGTCCCTAAAAACCGATGCTGGTCCCTGGTCCTGGCTTCGCAGGATCTCCTGGCCACGCTCATCTGAGCGAACCATTATATATGCAGCTCCATGGCCCTAAACCCACGCGATGGACCAACGACTACTCCTCATGCTCGGCCACCTGTTTGGGCGAAAGGGGCATTTCGCCCATGTGTAGCTGCAAGTTCGACTTTTAAAGGCAGGATTTTTACGCAGACAAGTTCGCGGGGCCCTTACTTGGTCTGTCGGCCAGAGAGGGAGAGAGAGAGAGAGAGAGAGAGAGAGAGAGAGAGAGAGAGGGCGAGCTCGCCCCTCGGACCGCGCGGATCGATCAACCCAGCAACGCGTCCTCATCCGCGATTACACTCAATAGGGCCGTCCCCCGGCTGCCCCCCTCCCCCCCCCTCCCTCCCCGAGCCTCCCTTTCTCGCATCTGGGGGACAAGCGCCCGGTCTGAGACCTTTCTTACAGGAGTGGCCCCTCGACCTGGAGATCGAAAGGATGCTCTCGAAGTTCTCCCGGTCCCGATTGTCCCTTCCAAATCTCGCTCAACACCAATCTCCCCTCAGGAGGGGCGTGAGCGATGTTGGCGCCGGTGTCTCCTCCACGGTGAGGACAGTGGGAGGAAGAGCATCATGCTACCAGCAACCGGGCTGAGGATGCCCGCCATTGTCCAAGGGCTACTGCTCTCCAAGAGGCGCCTATGTCAGATGCTCGGACACATGCTGCTGCGCAGGACTCCGGACTAGTAGAGCCCTTCGAGAGCAGGATCCAAGGGCACCGTCTGGCGGGTAGACTGTGCTTGAATTTCGCCGGCGGCGAATCGTGGCTGGAAGCCTCTTGTAGAGGCCACAGCGGCGGATAGGATAGCGGGGCCATCGGCAGTCGGCACACCAGGGCAAGCCAATGGCAGAAGAGATCCAACGGTCCCGCAGACAAGACACCTTGGGGAAGAACAGCAAGTGGCCATGTTTTGTTTGCATCCGGCGGAGGCGTGAGCAATCCCGGGAGGGAGGGGGGGGGGAGGGGCGAGGGCAGCCAGGCCTGTATATGTGGGCCGAAAACCCTGAGAGCACGGTCGGCTACCCTCCGGGCGCCGGGTTGGAGTCAAGGAGAAACGAGGCAGCCCGTGGTGTCCTTTTCCGGAAAAGCGAGAGCAACCCCGGCAGCTGGAGCAATTTGGGATGTGGAGAGTCCATATGTGCGGGACCAAAGTGTGTGGGCTTTTTTTCCCGAGGCTACTCTCATTCTCTTTGCACCCCTCTGAGAGGTAATGCGACCAAAGGGAGGACAAAAAGGCGCGAACTCGAAGACGGTCCCCGCCGACAGGGGCCTGGCCACGGGCACTTGGGATTCGCCCTTCTCCTCGTCATCATTGTCTTGGGCGTTGGGCAAAGGCGCCTGGGAGGCTGCCAGGGGTGCGCGTACACAGACTCGGGGGGTTGTGTTGGGGTGCCCCCCCCCCCCCCTCGGCAGGTTGGCTAGATTCTAGTCCCTCAAGTGCGAGGAGCAACTTCCTTTTGGGGTTTCGCAAACGGTATCTCGCACGTACCTCCTCCCTTTCGACGCATAATGGATCGTCTCTTTGGTGGCGTCTGTATGCACGTGCGCGCGCGCGCGCATGCAGGGGGAGGGAACATGCAATACAAGCGCACTTCATGTGCATATCATTCTCCTTCCGTCTTCGAGGGGGGGGGGGGGGATAGAAAAAAGCTCTGAAGCCAGGTAACTTCTCTGACTGTGAAGGTATATCATCGCCCAGAGAACAGGATCTCTGGGCCATTGTGCCATCAAAAGTCGTCGACCGCTGCTTTCCAGCGGAGAGAGGGGGGGGAAAATATCAACAAGAAGTAGGCAGGATAATAATAAAGCAAGAAGGCAAGGTGTAAGACACGGGGGGGGGGGGGGGGGGGGGGGGGGGGGGGGAGGGAGAATGCGTATATTTGTTGATTGCATCTGAATGCATGCAAGGAGATGGGGGCACGGGGGAGAGAGGATTCCTAGAGCTTCTCCTTGGGTATGGCATCATCAAATGCATATCTGCCAGGCACAGGGGCAACAGGCAACGCATTGAGAGAAGAAGGAAGGGAGGAGGGCGGGGAAACGGAGAGAACCGTAGGAAGCCGGAAAACTGGAGGGACTCTTTCCTTTTAGTTGTTATCGGCGGGGGCAGGCTCGATGGGCTTGAGGTCGGTGGTCTTCTCGCTGTAGTCGTAGACGTGAGCAGGGACCTTGCAGTCGAACTTGGTGAAGGTCTTGTAGCCAACGGTGTCCTCCGGGCAGAAGACCGAGAAGGAGTAGGTGTTGTTGAGGAGAGCGCAAACGGAGTGAGGAGAGGCGTAGCGGTCCATGCCACACTCGTGAGCCTCCTCCATGGCGGCAATGCACTTCTTGTTGTTGCACAGGGAGTCGAGAGAGACACCGGCGAAGCCGCCGGAGATGCAGTTCTTCTCGAGCTTGGCCTCAATCTTCTCGAGGGCCAGGTTATCGCAGCCCTTCTTGGGGAAGCTCTTGTTCCCGGCGTAGGTCTGGTAGCGAGTGTAGCAGTACTCCTCGTGGAGCTCGTACTCGGCGGCATCCGAGTCGGGCTCGTGCTTCTTGCACCAGTCGCGATGCTTGATGGCAATCTCCGAGCAGTCCTCGAAGGCCTTGGAGGTGTCGACCGGCTTGCCGTCGTACTTGTCGGCAGCCCAGACAATGCAACGACCAAGCTCAACAGCGATCTCAATGGCGTCATCATCACAGCGGTCGCGCTCATTCTCGATGATGTCGGCAAACTCGGCAAGGAGGTGCTGGCAGGGGCTCGGGGCCTTGTTGACCAGGATATCAATGTTGTTGCTGGCAGGAACGGCGTTGGCGGTGCCAACGGCGGCCAGAGCGGCGAAGAGAGCGACAAAGAGGGTAGCCTTGATCATGGTG